AAAACAAAACCAGAAGAAAACTCATAAAAATAACTGCTGAATTGCCTTTGAAAGTAGGGGATAACATCTGTTGCAAAACAGATGAAAAATTGCTTCTTAAAGTGTGTATGTTTTGTATTCTTTTTTTCTAGTAGGAAAAGAACAGACTTGAAATTTTGGTGTTTTTCCTTAGTGCTGTGTGTTGCTTTTGTGTGTTATAATATTTGAATGTAATTACAGCAGTGCCAATTTGCCAAAGATGTTGAACATTATTTTGGGGATTTTGTTCTGCGTTTTGTTTTGGGGAGAAAAAATGGGAGGTGGGCTGGGCAGTGGGCGTGCTAAGGTGTGGGTCACAAGGGATGGGTCTTCTGAAGTTCTTTTACATCTTTTTTTTCCCGATTCTTTTTCTTGTCAGAACTGAAATTTGTGATTTTATTCTAAGTTAAATGGTTGACTGCAACACGTTTTATTTTTAGATTAGTTGAAGAAACATGCAATAAGATTGGCGTAGTTCAATATCTGTGTGTCTTTTCATGAGAGTGACTGTTACTTGTGGACATTTGATTTTATGTAACCTTTATGTGAGATAATTATTTGTAAATATCTACCATAATTTTATTGGTTCCTAAAATAAAAGTAATTTTTTTAAGTTCCAAAAGCCTGTTTTCACCTTATCTACTCGGTCGTTTGGGAGAGGTACCAGGTTGTTGGGTTTGAAATGGGATTTCTTTCTGTGGTGCTGCTCTCTCCAGCTCCCCAGGTCTTTACATAGAGCCAGGGTTGCTCCATCTGAGGTGCAAAATCTGATGTTTGCTATACAGTTCAGTATTAAATAGTCAGACTTAAGGAACAAAACTCATGAAAACTTTCCACGATCCAGCAGATAATTGTATACACGTGAAAGAAAATGACAATCTAATCACAGAAAGACGGACAATCTAATCAGAAAGACAGAACTCGATCAACCTGCAGCTTGCAACCTGTGTTTACTCAGTCCTCAGCGAGCTTTGGTTTTGGGAGACATTCTCCATCCCAGCAGCACAAAGCAACAAGTCCATCCAGACGCACTCAGTTCAATTTGGATTTAGATTTAGGCTGGATATTAGGAATAAGATTTTTATGGTTAAGGGTGGTGAAGCACTGGAACGGGCTGCCCAAAGATGGAGTGGATGATCATCCCTGGAGGCATTCAAGGTGAGGCTGCTCTGGGCTCTGGGCGCCCGACCAAGGTGCACGTATCCCTTTTCACTGCAGGGGAGTTGAACCAGGTGACATTCCAACTCAAACCATTCCATGATGCTATTAAATTGTGCTTCAGCTCCAGTGCAGATCCCTTCTGCCAACTCTTGTTTTCACAGCTCAGAAGGACTGTGACTGCCCTCTCTGTCCCCCCAGCCCTGGGACAGACTTTCTAATAGTTAGTGGCAATGCACCAGAGTGTGTAGGGCTGCTCTCATGAACTAGCATTTCTAATCAGAGCAGTGTTTTGTGCACTTGAGAATACAGTGTCACGGAACTGACTTAACAAGCGTTCAAAAATCACTTTTCTGGAATTTTCTGGTTCACCCACCAGTGCTTATTCAGCCGTCTCACATCCCGTTTGACTCTTGAGTCCACCTTCACACCTCACACCTCTCTCTTACTGTCATTCACCAGCTGTTCTCCACGCATGACTTCCCTTGCAGCTCTATGGAAAGCGTGGCATTTGCAAAAGGCCCCTTACAGCAAAAGTTCTAATGCAAACAATCGTCTCACCTCCCAGTGTCAGTGCCTGTGTCACTGCTACAGGACTGCATTTACCATACTCCATCACCCTTCGAGTCACCCCCAACAAAGGCAACTCAGGGCTACAAAAGAGGGCAGAAATCTCCTGTTTTCCCCTCTGAGCCCCGGGAGACTCTTCTCATGAGAGACGTCTGCTGCTGGTTA